TCCCTGAAATTTTTACTAAGATTACCAAAATTATTTTCCTACTGTCCCCAAAATGTCATACTTGCTATCGTTACCAAACAGTACATAACATCTGAGTATTTACTTTTGACTCACAACTATACTCATCTCACTGTTATAATTTAGAAACGTAAACCACAGTTAGTTACCGATAATGAAAGTTTATTTGTAAGAAGAAAACTTTTGCCCATTCCTAATGATTTAGACAACTAACACTACCCTTATGACATTTTGTTGTACACTCCTGTTTTGATTTCCTACAACGACATCTCCCATCAGTACATGCACCCTTACACATACATCGTATTTGACTACTTGATGCTGTTCCAACTACACTTTGGCCTCTTGCCGCCTCTCTTACACTTATTATTCGTTCAGGTATTTCGGTTAATTCGGGAAACTCGGCTAACTCTACTAAATTCAATTCATTAGCACCATAAGTGACGTTCAATATCCCGGACGCACATCCCAATCGATATTTTCCATTTGACTTCTCGATTATCTTACAAGGAAGTAATGATCGATCCACACCATACCGATCAATTTGCGGGATCAATATTGTCACTATAGTTCCTGTCTGAAGGTCTTTCTTTGTTACATTAGCCTTAGAAAGGAGTCGTTCTTTTATTTCCCTTCGAACCTTCTCCGTATTTCGTTCAGCAATTTGTCTTAGTTTCGCATGCTGAGTTAATGGACTACATAATTTATAAATATTGATCAATACACATAATGTAGTGGTTAAAATAAAATGCTTGTACTGTATGAACATTTGAATTAAATAAATACGTTTTACTATGGCCTGCCTCTGCTTCTTCATCGCTGTTGTTGTCAGAAAAACTGTTATCTAAGTAAGTGTACAAATTTTAGTACCACATATCATCGCAGAATTATATCGAAACCATACCATATGTTGATATGCTTACCCAGTTCCGATTCTTCCTGAGTACAGTTTTCAGTGGACATGTTTATCCACTTTGAAAACTTGTCCTTCCATTTACGCATTTCTTCAGAGTTTACTCCAGGGTTGTCTTCATAACGCTCGCAATTTCTTAAGGCTTTTCGAATTTCCTCCACAGTAATGCCTTCAGGAAATCCATCTTGCACTCCAAAGTAAACAATCCACATACTTCTAAGTTGATTCCAAGGAATTGCATATTCGGGATGGGAAAAAAAGTCTGCCTCAATGTTTTTGCCTTTAAACTTCGTGACAGGCCTGGGGACGGGATTGCTTTGTTTCTTTCCTAGAACAGATTTTTCATACAACATTATCATATGTTTTAACAAACGTTTGCATCACAGTTGAGCATAAATACCTTTATTTAATTTGCGCGTAATTCTCATCTGGCTCATTACATATAACCAGTCATTCAGTTTAGCTCTCCAATTCAGCATTGAATCAGGCGTATGATTTTCATTCGTCTCAATGATCCCAATTTCTACAATTGCGTCTGCAATGTACTTTCTCGGTACGTCCGGTGGTTCAGTTTGATCCCCAAAAACATTAATCAACAGTTGCTGAAACTCATCCCATTTATAGCTAAATTCGCCGCGAGGTCCATCAAAAATGTTTTCTTTGTATAGCAAAAAAAATCGTTTAAAAATAGTAGCCTCTTAGAAATAAAGATTAGATTATTTATTTAATATAATAATAAAAGTTACCTTCAATATCTTCTTCGCTGTCAGAAAAGCTTACATTATCTTCTCTAACGACTGTATAATATATTTTATTAGTAACGTAACAATAATTCCAAATTACATTAGCGTAATTACCTTCCATATTATCTGAATCGTTATCAATGTTCGATGTTGCAACGGCATCATCAGTACATGATTGATAAAAACCTTAAAGTCGGGTTAATTAATACACAGAAAAATACTACTACAGTATTTAAATTACGCAAATTGTGTTTAAGATACATACTGTTGATACTGTCACAATCATCAATAATAGTACTATTGTCTTCTATTTCTAATACATATGCAATAAGCAAATAAGATTAATTACTATATAAAACAGTATGACTTAACCGAAATATTAATTATACCTTCATCCTCAATCTCGTCATCTGTAATATTTTCAATTTCGACGTCGTTTCCAGCATTAATTTCCTTCATTGAACCAGCTTCGAATAATTCTTCCAGCAATACTCTGTCGTTAATTGGTGAGATTCCAAACACTAACTGATATGGACTAAACTTAGTGGTTCTACACACTTCACAATTCATTGCGTACACAACACGACCTAAGGCACTTGTCCAGTCTGTTCGCTTGTGGGTTTCCATCCACTTGGCAATTTTTTTCTTTAATATAGCATTGCCCCTCTCCACTAAACCTTGCGATTGAGGATGGCGAGGTCGACCATGAATAATTCTCAGGTTTGGCCATAAATCTTCGAGTTTATTCATTATTCCGGTAAATTCTTTCCCATTATCACATTGTAGTATCATTGGTGGACCAAACATTAAGAAAACATCATAAAGAAATTTAGACACATTTTCCGCCTTTTTTTGTTTTGCAGCTGTTGCCCAACTAAACTTCGTAAAATGGTCTCTCATATGGATTATATAACGATACCCATTATCCTGTGCTTGTGCCATATCGATAAGGTCAATCTACAATTAAACAAAAGCTATAACTATTGTCTTTAAGACGTTATTAAAAATCAAACACAGATACCCACTTGCACGCGTTGAAGAAATCTTTTGGTTATTATAGGCTTTCCTTCCGGAATTTGTCGAACAATTCCACTTGCACAACAAACGGAACAAGCTTTGCACGCTGCATTACTTATGGGCTGCGGAATAAAGCAGTATTGCTTGCTGATAGAAGACCACGTTGAATTTTGACCACGATGGCCCTCGCCGCCGTCACCATTATGTATATGACAAAATACGGAATACATTTCTTCCTTTGTACAGACGCGTATTTCTACTTGTTTATGATTTCTGCTCACTTTTTTATATAGGAACTTTTTGCCGTTAATATTTCTGAGTGTAAATTGTTGTACCCATCTACGCAAATTATAATCAACATCGTTATCTTCAAAGTTGTTTTCAATTAAATATATAATGCGATCGGCTGTCTCCTTTGTTATGACGCTTTTTTCGGGATTTGATAAGGTTTTAAGATGGTTTTCAACAATTTGGTAGAAATTTTCTTTGGAAAGAAACGAATATTCTATTGCGTTAGACATGTTGCAGTTTGTACTTTTTCCCAAACACTTCATTTAGCACCAGTATTTATAGTTGTTTTCTGCAATTCAAATGTATTAAGACAGACTTAATTAAATAATTCAATTACATAGCTGTACCACTAGTTTATTGATTCGGGTAAATTATTCAAACCACTTTTATCTGATCATACGACTCGCGCAGTTCTTTGTGTGCGGCCTGTCGATGATTATAATCAATCATACGATTTCAATTACGACTTGCAATTCTACTATTACGTGGTCTGTCAATCAATCATACGATTTTGACATGGTCAACTTGCGTAATTCTTTATGTACGGTATATTGAATGTTTATGATCAAATTGTACGATTTCAATATAATTTTTCAATTCTATATTAATATGTGTATTGAGCAATCGTGCATGCAAGTTTCATATATGTGGTCTATCGAATGATCTGTCGATCATGCAATCTCAATCATACAACTTAGGATTTCAAATCGTACGATTTAATACAATTTCAATTAATATGTGTATTGAGCAATCGTGCATGATATCGGAATGATATCTGTCGATCATGTAATCTCAATCATACGACTTAGGATTTCAACTATGGGTTACAGATCTTATACATTGTTCAAATCGTATGATTCAATACAATTTCAATTATACCTTCAATTCTATCATGCAAGTTTCATATGTGTGGGTGGTCTATCGAATGAGATCTGTCGATCATGCAATCTTAATCATACGACTTAGGATTTCAACTATGGGATTTACAGATCTATACGTTGTTCAAATCGTACAATTTCAATATAATTTTCAATTACGACTTCAATTCTATATTAATATGTGTATTGAACAATCGTGCATGCAAGTTCCATATGTAAATGATATCTGTCGATCATGCAATCTCAATCATACGACTTAGAATTCAACTATGGGATTCAAAACGTACGGTTTCAATACAATTTCAATTATGACTTCAATTCTATATTAATATGTGTATTGAGCACCGAATTTTATCTGAGCATACAGCATGCATGCATGTGTGGTCTATCGAATGATATCTGTCGATCTCAATCATGCAATAATCTCAATCATACGACTTATACAGTTACTTTGAATAATCGTATGATTTGTTCATACCCTTGGCCTAGATTATGAAGATTTTGGGACCAAATGATTCTTAGGCTTGGCTTGCAGGTAATTGTCTTCTAGTGACTATGAATGGGCAGAAAACTGGTTTATGTTTCTAAATTATAACAGTGAGCATTTTTTATTTTGGGGACAGTAGGAAAAAATTTTTTGGGGG